CTGTGTCTCAGCAACAAATCTTCATTTTCAACTGTTTCATGTTCATATGAATGTGAACAGAGATCTTCCCATAAAGCACAACACCTCTCCATTTTTATTCTGTTTTACTAGGTACTCCCAAGAATCTACCCAGCTGTCCCACCTATATAATCACAAGAAGGCTCAAGACCATTAACAATTAGTTTACTGATTTATTCAGAAGAGAATTCTTAGATGCTGAACAGAATATGCAGGATTGCCAAACAAGAGCTGACCACCCCACTACTCATGAGAATGCCCATGAATTCTTAAAATGCCAGAACTTTACCTCAGACAAGTTTTGAGCCCCAAGGTTCCCTCCAGGCAGGACCACAACATCATAAGGCCCCTAAAACAAAATAAAACTGCTCTGTTGAATAGAGGCTGATACATACATTAGAATCTTTAAATACATTTCCCTGTTTGGAGACCGCTGCAGCTGATTCAAGTGGCAAGCAAAGAAAGCTACCTTTTCTTTCACTGAACAACACCTTATGATCAGAAAACCAGTTCCAATTATGACAAAAATACTTTTTCGTGTTCCAGGAAAAGCCTATTATCAATTTAGTCTCTCACAGAACTAACTTTTAAGCCTAGTGCACTTAAAAGCTTCAGCAAGCAAGTGACAGCTCTTGTGTTGTAAAGACAAGTGGTTTTGCTCCAACCTTATTGTACAGGTCTAACTATAACATTCTTTAGCTTCCCATCAGAACTTTGGAGTTGGCCCAAATCACAGTATTTTGTCAAGCCAACTAACAGGAAAAATACAGCTCTGTGACTGGCCCTTTGCAAAATCAAATACCTGGGCAGAATTAAGAAATCTGTCTGAACCTAGCAGGCTGTGAGGCAGCATACCACTGAAGGGAGGCACAGTGGGATGAACAGTTCTGTAATTCACTGCTGCAGAGTTAACACAACATGCAACATATGTCCCAAGGCAATGCATAAGCTCTCCAAATTCACCTCAGAAACTGTGAGACAGACTATGCTGGTCATTACATCAGAGAAGGTGCTGACCAACCTCTTTTCTGGCATCTTCAAGACTGGCATCAGGACAAATGAAGACATCTCGACTGCATTGCACTGGTTCTTTTCCTGTTAGGCCTGCAACAGTCACCTTGATCTAACAGGAGAACAAATATATTATTACAAAACAAGAATTTAGGGCATTTTTCTTATATGTAAGCTGCACTGAGAGCTTGTTCCTCTAATGACAGCCAAAATGGGGGAACACAGTGATGGAATGACAAAGGTGGTGGGAGAAGGTAATTTTTACTTCAGTCACTTCTATATAAGTGAAACTGGTGTGTTTGTTTAAAGTATTGTTTTCATTCCTAATGAGATAACAGTGTGCTACTACAACTGCAAGAGTAACAAACAGACTAAGGAATGCCAACAGCCAGAACTGTAGTTAATAACTGAATTTCAAAAGTAGCTCAAGAAAAGCCAAGCAATGTCCTGAGCTGTAATGTACTGAGGTTTTCAGACCCCTAAAAAAGAGGCATTTCCAGTTACTACACATGGAAGTAGCTGTGTTTTCTGACAGAGTAGGATTTACTAGAAATATTTGCTCTAGCCCACATCAGACTTGTATTTTGAAAGGTTACCAACAAATGTCAGTTGTGAGGCATGCTCACTAAGAGCATGACACAAATATTTGCTAACCAGTAAGGTGATGAGGGTAAATTTTCATTTCACAGACCACACACTGAATTCCTGGAAATGAACATCAACTTGAGGCAATGATTTCCTCTTGACCATGCACACACAAAGATTATTCACTGCATACTCACCCCAGCTCTTCTCATAACATCAGTGGGGATCACAGTTTCCATCTCCTCTGCCCCTTTAGCCAGAATCACCAATGCTCTCTTGGAGGCCATGTCTTGAGGAGCTGCTCTCAGGGAGATGGTTGTGAAGGAAGGGGCTGAGTGGGATAGAAAGACAATGTGGTTAGAAGGCAAATCCCCTCGTACAAATCCTTATGTTGAAACTGAACAGTAATTTGTACTTTTGCATGTTCTTTCATTTAAACCACCTCAAAATTCACTGGCATAAATTAATATTCATAGCCATCCTGTTTAACTAAATTTTCAGAAAGAATGCATTATGATATTAAAAGATTAAGGCACGTGGGCAAGTGGGAGGCACAGCACAGCAGCAGCAGAAGAAGCAAGGCCTAATCAAGACCTTAACCATGACCTGTGTGTGCCACAGAGAGGGGTGCAGGGTGGGTGGCAGAGCTGTTTTCAATTTGCACACCCTCACTCATTCCGAGACAACTGACTCCTACCCAGGCCAGCTCTTACAAAAAGGGCTTGCAGGAGCTTTGACCTCATGTCTGGTTTTCAGTTTCCACCCAGCATGCTGCATGAGGAGTTTCCTGTGACTTAACAGTGAGTCGACCAGAGCCCCTGTAAAATCTCACCAACAGATTTTCTGGGTTATTTTGCAGCTTTGTGGGGGAAGAAACACATGTGCACATGTGTGATGGGGGAGCAGACCACAGGACTTAGCAAATGGAACAAACTAGGCTTGAGACATTTTCTTTTTTTTAGCTTCTAAATTCAAGTTGAGGTGAATGGCCAGATTTCCATTTGAAGGTTAAGTTAAAATAACTTTACATCATGTAAAATAACCAGTAACAGGTCTGAGAGAAACCTGTGAAAGCATCTGTGATGTGAGGAGGCATTTCATGAGTTACTGCTCGGGAAGACAGAGATTTCTGTCCTGTGCAAGAATCTTCCATCTAGAACTGCACATAGTACCTGGGAGTTCTTCTTAAAATGTGATGCACATTTAGGTGCCTACATAAAATAAAATCATCCTCACCCTGCTTCAACTTCATCTGTTTTCAGGTTTTCTCCCTACTGGTAGCCTGCTTTAGAATGTTATTTCTAAGATGCACTAATAGACAGCACAACATCCCACAGCATGCTGAACCAGCCCAAGCAGAATAATTCACTGTGTCAAATCCTACTTTTAGGGCAGCTTATGTACTGTCAATGCAAAGCCCACTGATCAAGTACACCCAAATCACAGGTATTAGCAATAACTTCAGGACAACCTAGAGCTTCTTAATAGCTTGAGGGTACACACTGATTCTGCAAAATTTTTGTATGAATTTGACTAGAAAAAAACTACCTGAATAGCCACCATGCAGAAATGCTGCACTTGCTTTCCACAGAAGAAAAATAGTCTAGATGACAGTTTGCATCCCTTTTATTAATTCTTTAGATGAAAACAGGTACCTGACCCTGCAACCTTTACTCTTTCTCCTAGTTTTGCTAAATGAAGTCTCTCCATAGTGCCTTTAGATATTTATTGTGCAACACTGCCAAATTCTTGAGCATTGGTACTGTTCTTCATTTGGATGCATATGTAAATAGCTGTCCCACTACTGCGGAAAGACAGTTACAGAACCAAGTTACACAGGCCTAACAGCAACTTCACTTAACAAGTCATTTAACAAGCTACCTACACATAGGACACGCCAGTCTGCCATTTGCTCCTCATTGCAGCAAAGGCCGCCTCAAACCCCTCACCAAGCGTTCAGCCCCGCGTGGCTACAGGAGCCTTTCCGGGGACGGCGACTTGCGTTGAATCACGAACTCTAACGAGGGTGGCTTTAAAAAAATCACCCTGCAGCGCACAGAGGCTTTACTCAGGGGCAGGGTGCGGCTGCAGGCGCACGGGCGGCAGGGCCGCATCCACGGCCGCGCTCCCGCCCGCCCGTGTGGGACAGGCGCCATTCCCCGCGCTGGGGCGGCACGGCCCGGGCCCCGAACACCGCAACCCCGCCCGGGCACCGAACCCTCTGCCCACACCCGACACCGACACCCCCGCTCGCCGGGCCGGGCCCGCGGCCGCAGCAGCGGCCCTCACGACTCACCTCAGCGGGGCCGCGGGCGGCTCTGGGGCGCTCCGCCCCGGCCCCGGCTCCGCCCCGGCACTGCCCCGCTCTGCCGGCGCGCTCCGCTTTTCTCACGCTCTCTCGGAGCGCGGAGAGCGCTGCGCTGCCCGCCGCCGAGACAGGAGTCACGTTTGCGAGACCGCAAACCGAGCCGCTGCCGCTCCTCGGGCAGCCCCGCACGGACCCAGCAGAACCGAGCCTTGCTCTTCTCCGCCCGGAGCGTCTGCCCGACGCTTCTTTCCCCAGGCTCACGGCGCACAGGGAGTGCCTGTGGCTCAGGGATGGTGTTGCCCCTGGTTTTGAGTTTTGGTGTTTTGAAGGACAGAGCTGCTGGCGGGGACCTTTGGGACTGCAAAGCCCTGCTGTGTAAAAGCCCGCTCGCAGGTGCTGGCTGCCGGGCAAACGAGAGCTCCGGCAGAGCGGCTGAAGTCCAGGGCAGGAGAGCCGGCCACAGGGAATGACCGCTGAGGGCCCTGCCGCCATCGGTGCGGGGTTCAGCGCTTTGTGTGCTGCCCACAGCGGACTCCGCTCAGAACCTGGGCAGGCTGGTCCTTGCTGTGCCTGCCCGTGTGCCGGGCACGGGCACGGACACACACACACACACACAGGGACGACACGTTCTCTTCTCAGTTATAACTCTGCGCCCAACTCCGCAGCGTCCACCATCACTGCTCCTGCCCGCGCTCCGGGCCCGGCTCAGCGCCCGGGGATTGGCTGCGGGGATGTGCAGGGGGCGTGGCCAGGCCCGCGGATTGGCTTTGGGGATGTGCAGGGGGCGTGGCCAGGCTCGGGATTGGCTGCTAGGGCCCGCAGGGGCGGGGCCGCGCCGCTCCCGTGCCGGCCGGTGCGGGCTGCGCTCCGCCGCTCCCTGCGCGTCCCGGTGCTTCCCGTGCGCTCTCGGCATCCCCGGCACGGCTGCGGCCTGCCGGCCCCGCCTCTCGCCTGTCACCTCCCGGGGATTCCACGCCGCACTCACCGGGAAGCCCCAGCGGTGAAAAGGGCGACCGCTGACCGGCATCGCTGAGAGAGCCCTGCGGGCGCTGCCCGGCAGCGCTGAGGGGTCGCGCCTCCGGGAGGGTCCGGAAAGTCCCGCGGGCCGGGGTTTCCCCGCCGCCCCCGGCATGACGCAGCCAGGCCCCCCGGGGGCGTTCGCTAAGGGCCGGTGCCGGGTGTCCCGCGCGCAGTGCCGCCGGCCGCTCCGCCCCGCTCCGACACATGGCTGCGGGCCGGGCGCTGCTGCCCGCGGCGCTGCTGGCGCTGGCGCTCAGCCCCGCGGCCGCGCTGCCGTGCGGCGCCGACTGCCCGCCGGGTGAGGGCCGGGCCGTGGTGCCCGCGGTGTGTCAGCCCGCGGTGCCCGGCCCGCCGTGACCGCTGTCTCGTCCCGCAGGTACGTTCGTAGCTCGGAGCGCCGGCTGCGGACGCGGGGCGGGCGCGCCCTGCCAGCCCTGCCCGGCCGGCACCTTCTCCAGCGCGGCGGGACGCGGCGGCTGCAGGATGTGTCGGCAGTGCCAAGGTAGCGGCCACGCCGCCAGCCCTGCTCTGACCTCCCGTGGTGGCCACGACGTGGCCGGGCTGGCAGCTGCCCGGCGGGGCTGAAGCCGCCAGCCTGCTTCTTGTGAGAGCAAAGCCTTTGCTGGAAGCTAAAAGTGGTTTTCCCCCTTGCAGGACTGTTTGAGTATTTGAAGAAGTGTTCCTCGACGAGCGATGCGGAGTGCACGTGCAAGCAGGGCTATCGCTGCGGCGGCGAGGGATGCGCCTACTGCGCCCGAGGCTGTGGCGTGGGCCAGGAGAGCACCAGGAACGGTAGGATCGCCTTACCCAGCAGCTGAAAGCCCCTCTGCCTCCTGCAGCAGACACGCTGCGCTGCCTCTTGCCCAGTGCAGAAGCAGATAGAGGAAGGACCTGGCGAGATAAAAGCTGCCGAACGCTTTGCAGGGTGTGTGGAGTCGGCTCAGGAGCAGAGAAACCCACCACGCTGAGCCTAGCACAGCTCAGTCATGCAGCAGTGAGTTCCCTTTGCGTGGCAGCTCTTTGGCTGCCAGCACGAGGGAAGCACAACTCTGGAGCTCGGCATGGTTTGAGGAATCTTGTTCCAAATCAGCTGGTTTTTAGCCAAGTCTGGTCTGTGGCTGACAGGGAAAGACTTGTATACTCAGAGCAGCTTATGAAGTAGTAATTCTGGCATTGTACGAACATAATAATGTTTCATGTGTTGTGTTTTAAATGTTATCTTGTATAGTTTTACCTGTCTTTGTCCGTTGAAGGTTGCCAGACTTGCCGCTATGGAACCTTTAATGATCAGCCCAATGGCTCTTGTAAAAACTGGACAATGTAAGTAAACTAAAAAAAAAATTAAAATGCTACAACTATTATACTTGACTGGAATTTAAAATTTTTAAAAATTTTCCCTATTTTGCTGTAAATGTCCTTCAGGTGCTCTGGAAACCAAGTCCTGGAGCCTGGAACTCCAGCAAAAGATGTCATTTGCAAATATGCTTCAGTTAATTCCACTTCAGTCACTACTCTACCTACAACATCTCTCGAAATTCCATTTTTTATCACTGTGCCAGGTGAGTCCTTGTCTAATATTGCTTATGGAGATAAAGAATTATGACCTACTTAAACATACTGTAGCTCATTCACCTTCCATTCAAAGCAGAAGTCCTTCTGTGCACTTCCACTGTTGCAGACTGACCCAGAAGCATAATGGGAGACAAAGTTTTCAGCTGATTCAAGGGCAGTAGAATCTTGTTCTGTTAATATTCTTAGAGAATGTTATTTGTTTCCTAGGGAAGGATGTTCAGACAGACACAATCAGGATTTCTCTCGCTGTGGCTGGGCTGTTGTGCTTAGTGTTTCTCCTGCCTTTGTGCATCTGCTTCAGTGTCTGGCACAAAAAGAAACTACACGCTATCTTCAAGAAAAGTAAGATAAATATGCTCTTCAGATTTTCTTTTTGAAACTAGACAGAAGTCAGGAATCCAGGTTAAGTGCCTTACAAAGGTACTTGCAATAGCTTCGGGGTTTTTTGCCTTGTAAGTCAGAAGCAGCTGAAAGGGAAACAGTTTGGGAATTTTTATTGCAGAAAGCACTGTGGGTGTTGGGTCAAGTGCATGCTTATCCTTAGAAGTGGACTGTTTGTCAGAGATTAAAAAACTCAGCTGCTCCAGTTAAAGGTCAGTTCAGTTTATGGTTTCCAAGCATCATCCTTGGCCTGCATGGCTGAAACCCTTTGGAGCTCTCTCTGCTCCCAGAGAGGACACATGGCCTGCAGGGAGTGTCTTGGAGCTCTGGCTGCAGCAGGAGAGGGGACACCAGTCCCCAGGAGAGGGGACATAGTCAGGCTGTGCTGCTACACAGGTGCAGATCAGCCTGAATCCAGCTCTGCCCTCTGAGAGCTGATGAATCCTGGGCAAGCACAAGAGTTGAGCACAAAGATGAGCTGATTCTATTCAATGTCGTTTATAGTTGGTTTGTTTGGTTTTTTGGGGAGTTCTCTCTCCCTTTCTCTTCTTTTCCCCTGTTCTAAGGATAAGGTCTGAATCTTGTAGTGTAACTCTAAATACAGAAGACCAAAGCAGTCCAAAAATCTATTTCCCTTATGTTGGTCTTCCTTTCATTGCCATGACAAACAGAGCACCAGAGGCCCTGCTGAATTAGGGAAAACAAAGTGTGATAAATTAGTTTTATCAGATATACATACTGTAGAGGAATAACTTCAGGTTATATAATTACTTAGAAGATTTTTTTCTTCCTGACATCCTACATTTGTGACTGAGGGATGGTGAAATAAGATGGACTTAACTGATTCTGTGAATCTGTTCTTTTTTTCAGTGCACACCCCTGATCACTCAGTTCAGGAAGATGATGCCTGCAGCTGCCATTTCCCTGAGGAAGAACAAGGTGAATATCAGAGTCCTGGCAAATCCACAGAATTGAGAGATCTTCTGGTGAACTAGAAATTGAACTGTCCAAGTCAGCCACATTTGAGTTTTCTTTTGGAATACAGAACAAGAACCTCTTTATGTAAATAGAGCAGGGGTCAGCAGCTGAGTGTTAGAGCAGTAAATAGTCCAGCCACTGGGGAAAAGGTGGTTTTTTTATATTTCTTAAAAAAAAATAATAAAAACCCCCTCCAAAACAGTTTGCTGATTTTCTTCCTCTATGAGTAAGGATATTTCTAAGAAGTGGTTCTTGATCTACATGTAGAAAGAAGTACTGCATTTAAAAGCCCTAACAGAAGTGCAGAATAGTTCTCTGGTCCCTCATTAATGTTACCTGAGCCTTAATTTACATGCATCCAAGAGCATCTGAAGCTAAAAAGGAGATCACATTGTGGAGTCACTGGTGACACTCACAGTCTCTTACGAGCAGCCATCCTCTTGAGTCTGGCTCCAAAGCTCCTCCCAAAGTGTGGCTCAAACCCAGCAGGGTTTGTGTGCCAGTGCAGCTGGAGCTCATCTGGTCCCATCACCCTTGGAAAGATCCCTGCCCCACCTCTGCACCCATCCTTACTGCAGGGGAAAGGAACCCATGGAGATCTCGAGCTGCAAAGTTCTCCACAGCAGCACCTGCTGTTGTGTTGGCTTGAGGGAGGCAGTGGAAACACTGAGAGAAGCTGTGGTTGACTTGAACTTAGAAATGGCTGTTACTTTGCAGCTGGACTGCACCACCTTCAGCCCTGCATCACCCAGCTTTGATCTTTTGGGTGACGTAAACCTTGTGTACATTGCAGCTGTAAGTGTGATATCTTTGTGGTGCTATTTTTGTAGCTGAGGTTGGAAAGGTTTTAACATCAGACACTCTATCTGTCTCTCTGATCAAATACTGTTAACTTTGGTCTTGAGGAAAAAGAAAATACATGTTTGAGTCACTACATTTGCAGCACCACTTTTAACCATTTACAAACCTCACACATTTTATTACTTCACTAAATGTTATTAAAAAATAGAATCAAAAAGTACCAATATGTGGGTTAAAGGTGATTTTCCCCTCTCTGATTTCAATGCAAGAGAAAATTATTTTGCATTTGAACAATGACAAGCCATCTCTTCATTCAGCAGGTTGCAATAGCAGATTATTTTCACCAAGCCACACTTACACGTTTTGATAAACTTATGTACAAGTAAATATAAAATAGTAAGTTTTGTAATAATAGTGAGAAAATAAGTATCATAAAAAGCCTGAATTGTGAAGTTTTAATTTTTATCCCTAGCTCAAGTCTTCTCTCTATTGGTACTTTCAGCCATGAGAACTGTTTACTGGACTATTATGTTAAAATCACAAACCTGAAGGCATGAACAGGACACGTGAAAAGCCAACAAACTATTTATAAAGCTATTTATAAATCAAAGAATGACCTTTGCATCATTGACCTAGTCACCATTGACTATATCTTAGAAAAAGATAAAAAGAGTATTTCTGCTTGTCATTAATTTCTAGCCCAAACATAGAGAATTAATGTACACATCCTATAACTCAAAATATCTGATTTTCTCCTTGGAAAAAAAGAGGTAACAACTGGAATTTTACATGTTGCTAGTAAATTCTGCATGTATTTTGAAATGCTTCAAACAAAGTGCAAACCCCTTATTCTCCTTGTCTTACCATACCTGAAGCAGAAATAAATCTGCTTAGTGACCAGTGAGGACACATTTCCACCAAAACTGGAGCTCTGGACTGTTTCAGGGAATAGTCATTCACAGAAGAAAGTACATTCTAAATAAAATGTTAGAAACAACCTTCCTTTCAATCAAATAAATATGTGGATAATCTTACCTGTGACTTCTGTCATTTGAGAGTACTGAGGCCTGAATTAATGATAAACAGATTTTGTTGGCACACACATCTGTTGTCAAACGTGTGCAGATGATACACTTCCATTTCACAATGATGCACATCACCTGCCCACAGAAGCAGCACAAGAGATTGGCTAATTTGTACTTCTGTAAAATACTTCAAATACATCTAAAAACACGTTTATATATAAGAACCAAGGAAAGACTGGAAGATACCATATTTTGGAAAGTGAAATAAATGGTGGTGCAATTGCAAAGGAAAGATCAGAGTACTTCACAGTGTGCAGTGCTTGCTCACTCCCCAAAAACTGTGGCAGCAGAGCTGTATTTCATTTCTGTAATCCTCACAGAACTGAAAATGAATACAGGTGAATTCATCTATTTCGCAACCAAGCACCCAAGCAGGACATTCCAACTTATAACAAGAGCACCACTCCAAATACCGAGATACTTGGAGTGTTTAGCTCTTTTCAGATTAGTACCATATTCAAATTCTAGGAAATGAATTATTCTAGGAATCTGTCTATAAAAAATTCCGATTACAGCCACAGAATCATGCACTTCCTTGAACATCATTCATTCTTGTGTGGTGTGATCATTTAGAACCAACTTATTAGGAGCTTGTTCCCATTCTAGACCCCTCATAAACAGATACTTAATAAAAAAGTACTAAAGGACTTGCTTAAATCTTCCTTTTTGTTATGCTTGTAGCAGACAGCTGTAAAACCCCTTGTGGCAGTGTGTTATGAAAATGCACTAAGCAGACTCATCAATTAAGTTTAGGAGGTGTTAAGTTTATTAAGTGTTAGGAAGCTCACATCTGCTAAAAAGACACATACTTACCTTCCTTTTTTCCTTTTTAAGTTATCCTTTTGTCTTCTGAAAAAAAGCCCATAGCAGGTAGTAAAACTTCAGTCAAAAATAGAGAATATGACAAGGGGCTACTATGCAAACCACAGAAGCAAAAATGATGCCAGTATACAATGCTTTAAAATAATTTGTTATTTGATTTTCCAAAGTGCTACATTTAGGATTTAGGGATCTTCAGTGACTAGATTAAAAGAAACACTGTCATCACAATTAAATCTCTACTAGCTTTCCTGAATAGAATTTGTGGCTGAATTTGTCTGGTTTTTAACACAGAGGATAGCAGCCTTCCTGCCTGCACATGGAGCAGGAAAAAATGTCTTAAAAGTCACTGTAAAAAAATCTTTTATCCAGGAAAGGTGAATGGGAAAAAACTGCTCTGTATCTTTTACTATTGGTAATTAAAGCAGAAGGAAGCAGTAAAATCCTGGCTGTCCATAAGAAGAAGAGCTGTGAACAATAAGTATTAAGCTCTGGGGACCTCGGCCCCTCTGCTGCTTCCCCCTCCCCTTTTCCCTGGGCTGAAGCTCTGAGCTGCTGCTGGGCCAGCAGGGCCAGGTGGCACCAGGGCAGCACCCAGCAGGGACATTTTTCCTCTCCAGGAGTGGAGAAGTGGCAGCACAAGCATCTGCAGAAAATCAGTGAAGTGGCTGCACAACTCTGATTGGAACAGGGAGCTTCTGGGGGTTGTTGGTCTCTGGTTTTTGCTGTTTTCAGCTGGGGAGGACATCCACCATGGGAGCTCTCCTCCCCATATTGCCTTTTTCCCCCAAATACTGCACAGAGCAGGGCAGAGGAATGGACAGGACAAAGGCAGGATCAAGTGGAAGCATCTGCCAGCATGATTTTTTGTTCCCTATAGTGAATACTCTTTTGTGGGTGAACACCTTCTCTTTTGTATATCTTTGCTATTAATACAGCTGTTGTGGTTGTGTGTTGTTATTGTGTGTTGTTATTATTTTGTGTCTCATTCCACTGATTTCTGGTGTTAGCAAATTGCTATTTCAAACCATAATCTCTCCTTTACTGTCCCTCCTTCACTGGAAGGGGTAGAGGAAAGAGAGTGGCTTATTTGGAGTTCAGTTCCTTCCAAGCTCCAGGGAGACTGAGGCTTTTCAGTACTCAGAGGGAAGTTATAAAGAAGAGGGGGAGGGACTTTGTACACTGACAGTGACAGGACAAAGGGGAATGGCTTTAAACTAGAAGAAATTTCAATTAGGTGTTAAGAAAGAAATTCTTTAAAAAAAGTGAAGAAATAAATTATTCAGTTAAAAGAGTGGTGAAGCTCTAGGAGAGGTTGCCCAGAGAAGCTGTGGCTGCCCCATCCTGGAATTGCTCAAGGTTAAACAGGACATGGACCATCCTGATCTATTGGTAAGATCCCTGCCCATGGCAGTAAAGATCATCACTAGATGATTTTTAAGGTCCCTCCCAGCCCAAATCATTCTGTAATTCTATGGTAACTCTGAGTTTTCAGTGTTCTCTGCTTTCTGTGCATGTCTCTTTTTTGACAGCCATTTAATTTATTATATAGCAAGCAAAATGGAACTGGGAATGCCCTGATGACTCCCAGGCAGCCCAGGTGGCCGAGGGTGAGGTAACAGGCCAGATGCAAGCTTTCTGAATTTCCATCTGTTTTTCTTGGAAGTTAAAGTGTCCTCTTAGCCAGACCATGTACAGAGGCCCAAGTGATGTCAGCAGAGTTTTGGAGAGATGGAAGAAAGAGAAAAATTCTTTTTAAAGATAAGTATAAGCAGAGGAGCCTGCTGCTTTTTTATTGCTTCCAGAACCAGCCCCCTTTCCTGGCACAGTTAGTGGCATCAGTAGTTAAAATCATGTTCATCACATGCCTTGGCTTTGTAATTTCTTGCAAGAGTTGTGTGGCTAAGGAAAGTAAAAGGTTCATAGCAAAAGGGTTTCTGTTTCTCACCTCCTGTAGAAACAGGGGTTTCTGTGCCTAATGCTTCTGGATGATTGAGACTGTAGTGGCTCCTCTAAAATGTACACTTCAGGTAATTTTCTTAAAGCAGAACATGATTTCTTATTTTCAGTCTTTCTATCAGACCCTTCACAGGACAGAAGCACAGTTTCTCTGACAGTTGTTCTGGTACCAACACAAATGATGCAAAAACCTTGGTGGGAGATGGTGCACTCCAATGAGACAACAACAGGCAACTTGTGCCACTCCACTTGACTTTTGTCACCTGTTTGAAAGTCAAGGTAAGTCTTACAAAGTCTTATTTTATGACTGAGTGTCACCTCAGCTCCTCTCTCAAGCTTTCCCTAATACAGGGGGGGCTCAGGGGCTGTAAGAGGAGGATCTCCATCCACCCCACAGGTTCTGTCTTAGCTGAGCATAGCAGCTGTTGGATACTGTCCCTGTCCTCACTGTAATAAGAAATTTTAATGCAATCTACAACAAAAAATGGAATTTCCCTCTAACATCAATTTGGCAGAAGTTTGTTGTGATATCACCTA